GAGAGAGAGAGAGAGAGAGAGAGAGAAAGAGAGAGAGAGGGAGAGAAAGAAAGGAGATAAGAGAGCAAGATGGAATGGTATTTTCCGGAAAATCCAAGAGATGTTGAGTAATTAGGTTGTGTACGTATTATAGTAAGTAGAAATTCCTCTCTGTGGCTAATCCCTCAGTGCGAATAGAAGTGGGCGTATATCGGTCACACCAGTTAGACGCTGAATTACCGACCAGGCTCACAAACGAACGGCGGGAAAACAACTTAAATTGACTAGTGACACCTGATCTTCGTCAAGGTTCACTGAAAAAAAGTCAGCCTGAAAGTCTCCGAGTCCGAGTCGTCTTTGAGCATAGAAGTGAGAGAGTGACAGGAGGGGCGAGGGGGCAGTTACGACACTGGTCTTAAAGTAACTGTCCGCCATTTTGCTTGTGTTGAATATAAAAGGTTGCGAAGTTTCCAATTCTGAGCGAGATATGGACGTTAAGCATTCCAGTTTTCAGGGCATATCGAGAGCATCAAGCAAAAATATGACATCTGCAGAATTCATAGTTAGTGTTATACGGGGTGCCCACTACGGCTGGATCGGGCCGATCGCCCGACTCGATCGCCTGAAACTGAAAACAAACACGTTTGTTTTTGAGGCGATCGAGTCGGGCGATTGGTCCGATTGGCCGATCCCAGCCGAAGTGGGCACCCCGTATTAAGGCAATGCAAAAAGGGATGAGGCAATCACCCAGAGCCTTGATTTGACGAAATTGGAGGACGTGGCCAGGGACAGACAAGCGTGGCGTCGACTACTCTCTGCCTTATGTACCTGACGGTATAGGGAGAGAGTAAGTAAGTAAGTAAGTAAGTTAAGGCAATGAGTATCACCAGAGCCGCAGTTGCTTTCTTTTCAAAGTTACAAAATCCCCGTAGATCTCATAAAAACCCTGCTATGTGACCTTCAATTCTGTCCTTGCTCTAATTCTGTGGGTTTTTTAACTGGCCGAGTTACCGGTCTCTGATGGCCTCATCCTTGTTACGAAACCTGCGTCCTGACAGCTCCGAGGTGTTTGGTGAAACGACGTCCGGGTAATCCCGACATCAATAATAAATCAAGGCAACAGAGGCCAGCCAGCCCGGGTTAAATGTTTCCGGAGGAATGGACACACTGACCAGTTGTGGGGAAGGAGAACGTTTACGGGCCGAGGAAGAGATTTGTGTTTGATGAGGAAGAGGGTGGTATCAAAACAACTTTTTCTAAATAGTTATTTTACGTTTCTCTTTACCCCCCCCCTCCCCCTCGCGCCAGTCTTTAGACAATTTCTTTAGAACCCACAGTGGAAATTTTTGAGAAAATCCGACAATAATAGGAATATAATATAACAAAGTAGAGAAATGTCAGTGATTGGGT